AGAACCTAAGGAATTTTTAAGCATATCTCTTGCTTTGCCTAGTGGTATCAAGGGCTTAATTTTTTTTTTTTTTTTTTCCCTTCCTTTTTTTCAGAGAAGATTTATAAATCAGTGGGGTAGATGGTGCTGTTCTCCAGCTGTCTATCTTGAGGAGTTTCCTCACTGGACTAAACACAACATAATTTCTCTGTAATGTTACAGTGGAATCTTGGAAAAACATAATGTTCCTCCTGTTATGTGCAATAGATTCTTCTTTAATTGCAGCAGCTAAAAAAAGCTTCTATCTTTATAGCTGTGGAACCAAAGCGACGAAGTTTATGGTCTCTCGCTGTCAGCAGGTTTATGGAAAATTTATAGTATATGTTCTGAGTTTACCATTTTTGTTGGAATACTTACTAAAACTAGTGCTGGAAAAAGCCCATTATAGGATTAGGAGTTTTGCTGTTAGGTTCCTATAATTTGAATAGTCTTTGTGTAGTGTTTTTACTTTCATCTCCTTTTCCCTCAAACTGCTATTTTATCTTGTCCAGAATCAAGAATCTGTTCAGGCTGTTTCTTCCTTATTTTTTTTTTTTTTTTTTTTTCACTATGAACTGAGCTTATTTTGTTACCATTCCCTGACTGACTTTCAGGACTCTTAGTTAACAGAAAATTGGTGATGGCACTGGAAATCACCAAAACTGTTTAGATAAGTTAGAATAATATTTTCTGTAATTTTTGTTATTGATCCTTTTCTTTTCCCTGTTTCTGAGTCCATTTTGCTGGTGCCACATTATTTGCGATCAGTGGAAGGAGGCTACTTTTTTTTTTTTTTAAACTCTCTTCCAGATTTGAAATGAAAATATGTTAATGTTATCTGCTATTCAGCACCCTCTTGTTTGTAGCTGGTAAAGGTGTTGAACTGATGATCTAGTTGAGCCAAACTGCATATGTCTGACTCTGCTGGCTTAATCTGTTCACTCTAGTCATGTGTCAAAAAAAAAAAAAAAAAAAAAAAAAAAAAGAAAAAAAAAAAAAAAAGACAAATGTAAAAACTAGAAACAAACTGTTCATCAGTGAATTGAAATGAGCAGAATTTGCCTTTAGAAACATATCTAAAGACTCTTCAGCTGTAAATGATGCTAATTTAACCACAGAAATGTGATTTAATTTTATTGTTACTACAGTTGGGATTCCTCAATCTGGAAAATCTGAGTTGGGCACTGGAACTCCGGCATACCTAGAAAAGGAAGTAGAAAGGTTGACATTTTAAAAAGGGGTACTCGAGATTTAATCAGTTGCTTCCATTCATTTAATCAATTAATTTCTCATTTCCATGAGAAGGATAGTGTCTGAATGTTCACTGTTTCAGAAACTCATCTCTTGACTCAGTTTCACTAAAAATCACTGTGTATGAAGAAGCAGTTTCTGCTTTGACTTTCCTTGCTGACGTGTCTGTAGTGCTCCTCAATCACAGTGGACTGTCCCCTCCTGTTTCTTCAGTATTCATTAATTGCTATTCTCACTTTCCTTCCTGTTTTTTCCCTATTTTAACATATCCATACATACCATGTATGCATAAATCTGGATGGATCAAAGCTAGCGTTAATTTTATTTGTATATTCCCAAACTTCAGAATATAGCAAAAAAGCAATTTATACCCGACAGAAATTTAGCAAATCTTCAGATTTTGTAGAACCAATTTACGATCTGTTTATTATGAGTGGGATAGATGACTTTCTCCTGTAGTACGTTCTTGGTAACTCCAAAAAAAATATTAGACCTCCATTAAAGTGAGAGAAATACATAGGACAGCTTGGTTAAAGTTGAATACACATTAGTGGAGAAATTACCAAATCTGAAAAAATAGATTTGACTAAGTATTTTTGACTAAGTATTTTTCGAACATTTCTGTCTAGTACTGTAAATTAAGATGCTGCAGCTGACTCATGTTTTTATTTACTCTCTGTTATTACTCCATGTGATTTTTTGAAAAAATATACAGCGAACGATGCAAGCCCTTCTCTGAGATGTACATATTTTTAAAGGCAGACATGAAATGTGATTTAGTGAAACTAAGTTTTGCATAGACTTCATTTTGGCTGGTAAAAAGTACCAAATATTACAGCTTTATCCCACACACATTTCCATATTGTGCTCATAAACTGTAAAGCCTGACATCTAATGGATCAGAGTGATCAAACTGGCCGGTGGAATAAGTCCTGGCCTTTAAGCTCAAATGCCAGATTTTAGAAACTCAGGTCTCATTTTTCTGGGGGGTGAGCCCACAAGCAGCCGCATCTAATGACATCTCTAAAGCAGGGTGAATTAGCAGCATGATATCAGGATAGTCCAGGACAAGAAAAATAACTCCCTCTGATAATCTGTTGCATTTCATAGCTTTCCTTATGTCTAAAAAACCTACATATAGTAGGTATCCAAAATCAAAACCTGATTTTTTGCAGTACACACAAATAAAAAATTAAGCTTCATGGGATTTGGCCTGACTAAACCTCAATCTCACCCTTGCATTTTCTTGCTCTCTTTCTATTCTTCCACAGAAAAAGTAAGCCAAACATTACAGGATGCTATCGGAGGGATTCCCAGTGAGATTCTAAGATCTTATTGGTGGCACTCACATTTTTTCTTCTGAGATGGGTACCAGGATGTGTGC